GGCTCATTTACATAATTGATACCTCTTGATAATTAAGTCATCTAAGATCTCTTATTCTTCTCTTTGTCTCTAAACTGTACTGGAAAAGTGCAACAGCTCCATTTTAAACAACTGTTACTTACATATTCTTTCCCGGTCCACACACAGTTAAATGGTTTAAAGGTAGAAGACAAATAATTAATTACATTAGAGTTACACAATGCAAAACATCATTAACAACAACAACCTGATTCTTCTGAAAACAAAATAGGCCCAATTGTCCAAATTAATCAAATGAGTCTTCCTAGAAATCTAGTTTGGTTTGTGAATGTGAGAACATTTGTGTCCTAGTACTCAATATTTTGAAGCACCACCATTCTGTTTCTTGGAGATGATGAAGCAGCTGAGAGTCCATTCTTATCCCTATGCAACAATAGTAGAATTCATATCTTCTTGCCCCACACCCTCTTCTCCATGGGAGTGAAGGCAAATGGAAGAAATGAAATAAACTAGACAAGAGCTGAACTAAATTGAGTGATGTTTTAATTATATGCCTTCCTTCTGAGTTGCTGAGTTATAAAAGTGTCCCTCTTTTTATAGTTTTACATTATAAGTAAAATGATTTGTTGTTGCTCAGTTGCTAAGTTGCATCCAGCTCTTTGCGACCCCATGGACTGCAGCAGGCCAGGCTTCCCTGTCCTTCACGATGTTGCAGTTTGCTCAAACTTGTGTCCATTGAATCAATGATGCCGTCCAACCAACTCAAGTAAAATGATGGAATTTATTTTTTGATAAGACTATATACTTATCCTTGTGTACAAGAACCAACTGTATACAACTACTGGTGAATTGTTTTATAAAGAATTAGTGAAAGTCAGGGAAGTCTGACGTGCTGCCATCAGGAGGGTCGCAAGAGTCAGACACAACTTAGCAACTGAACAACAACAATAGTTTGAAAATGAAATGGGCATCTTAAAAAACAAAACTCAAAAGTTGTCCATGGGCAGCGGCGGTGGCGGCAGGGCATTGTGACGGCCGGCGTGGGCTGTCTCCCGAGCGCACTCTGCCGGCTACGCTCGCGGCCCTGGCCGACCGTCGCGCGGCCGGCGCCACGTCTGTGAGTGAGACCTTCGTGGGCTGCAGGGCTTTTTGGCTGCAGGACATCCGAGAGGAAATCTGAAAAGTTGTACAGAGTTTAGAACAAACAGCTCGAGAGATTTAAACTCTACTGAAAGGGGTCCATCAGGGTGCTGGGTTTCAGGACATTCCAAAGAGGCATTTGAAAGCTGGAGAACATTTTGGTACAGTAAAAACACATCTAATGTCTTTGAGGAGAAGGCAGTGGCAGCCCACTCCAGTACTCTTGCCTGGAAAATCCCATGGGCGGAGGAGCCTGGTGGGCTGCAGTCCACGGGGTCGCAAAGAGTCAGACACGACTGAGCGACTTCACGTTCGCTTTTCACTTTCGTGCACTGGAGAAGGCAGTGGCAACCCACTCCAGTGTTCTTGCCTGGAGAATCCCAGGGACGGGGGAGCCTGGTGGGCTGCGGTCTATGGGGTCGCACAGAGTCGGACACGACTGGAGCGACTTAGCAGCAGCGGCAGCAACGTCTTTGAAGACCAAGTTTCCTGCGGAACAGTGTTACTGGTTTCACAAGCACTGGAGGGTTGTGCTGCACTTCTTGGTCTTCTTGGCAGCGTTTTTTGTGTACTTGGGAGTCCGAAACCATAGTGAGCGGAGAAGCGGTTACCGAGATCCTTGGCAGTGAGCCTGATCAGGAGAAGGGATCTCACTTGGATGTGGAAGATTATCTCTCGGGAGTTCTCATTCTCGCTAGTGAACTGTCGAGGTTGTCCATCAACAGCATGACCGCCGGAGACTACTCCCGGCCCAGGCACATCTCCACCTTCATCAAACGAGCTGGATTCCGGCTTCTGCCTCCTCAGCCTCAAAAACGATTCCCCGAGGAAGTGCTACGACGGCCTGAAGTAAGATGTGAAGAAAATGGAGGAGGTGGTCTATGATCTCTCCCTCTGTGGCTTCCACGGGAGGCTGGCAGCAGCCTGCGTGAAGCAGGGGGCTCCCCCGGGCCCTGCTGACTCCAGCGGTGCCCACCAGGCCCAGTCCAGCGCCTGCCATAGTAGTTAGAATGCCCCGTCATTTCTTAACTGGTTGTGTGGTGTTTCAGAGTTGAAACACTTTTTAGGGGGTGACAGAATAGTCTTTACAAGGATAGGTTTTTCTTTGTTGTTTTCGGTGAATTTGCTTTGTAACTCAGTATTTACTCCAGTTTTGTCAGAAAACGTACATGTCCATCTCTTGGTAAAGTTCTTTTCTTGCTTACCACCGGCCCCCCCCCCCCCCCCGACACCAAAAGAAGTTGTCCATTGTACAATGCTAATACAAGAGTTTTTCATAATGTTTCTGTAAACATTATTTTATGTTATTTTGTCTTATTTAATAATGTTATTGATAATTCAATATACTATTATAATGATTCAGATATGTCATGTCACAAATTGTTCCCTGAAATATAATTACAAATCTAATGGGTTACTAAGTTCTTTAAATATCTCTCATCATTCTTAGAAATAAATCTTTGCACATACAGCAGTATAAAAGATATTCTTAATATGTTCTCTTCATTCTGATTTAAGTTCCCTCATCTTTTCTAAAAATTTTTTGTTGAAATAGCATTGATTTACAATGCTGTGATAGTTTCAGATGTCCAGAAAGTATTTCAATTATAGATACATATATATATATATATGTTCTTCTTAATATTACTTTCCATTATAGGTTATTATAAAATATAAAGTATAGTTCCCTATGTTATACAGTAGGTCCTTGTTGGTTATCTGTTTTATATATAGCAGTGTGTATGTTCTAATCCCAAACACCTAATTTATGCCTCCTCCCCTTTGCCCTTGGTAACCATAAGTTTGTTCTCTGTGTCTGTAAGTCTATTTCTTTTTTTTTTTTTTCCTTATTTAAAACTTACAACTCTTTATTTTGCAATAATTACAAATTAATAGGAAGGTGAAAAAATAGTACAGGGAGTCCCAGTTTCCCCCAGTGGTAAGATCTTACACATCGCTATAGTCCAACTTCAAAACCAACATATTGACAATGGTACAATACTGCTGACTAGACTATAGAGCTTATTTGGTTTCACCAGATTTTACATGCACTCCATTTGTGGGTTTTTTTTTTGTGCAGCTCTATATAGTTTTAGCACAGATATAAATTCATGTAATCAACACCACAATCAAGAAATAGAACTGTTCCATCAGCACAAAGGAACTGCTTGTGTTGTTACCCTTTATAATCACCCATATCTCATAACCCCTCCAGTCCCTATCCCTGGTAACCATTAATCTGTTCTTCATTTTTATAATTTTTTCATTTCAAGAATTTATAATGTTATACATATGCAGTCATACAGTAGGTGACCTGTTGAGACTGACTTTTTTCATTCATCATAATACACTTGAGGTCCATCCAAGTTGTGTATATCAATATTCTGTTTCTTTACATTGCAGAGTAGTACTCATGGTGTGAATGGTTGGTTTAACTGCACACTCAACTGCAGGACATCTGGGTTGTTTCATTTGGTGCTATTACAAATAAAAGTGCTAATAACATCTGTACAGAAGTTTTTGTGCCAAAATAGGCTTTTATTTCTTTGGGATAGGTGTCCAGAGAAACAATTGCTGGGTAATAAAGAACATGTATGTTTAACTTTCGATCCCTGGGTCAGGAAGGTCCCCTGGAGAAGGGAATGGCAACCCACTCCAGTATTCCTGCCTGGGGAATCCCTATGGACAGAGGAACCTGGCAGGCTACAGTCCATGGGGTCCAAAGAGTCAGACACAACTGAGCAGCCAACACTTTCACTTTCATGTTTAACTTTATTAGAAGTTTCCAAATTCTTTTTTTCAGAGTGGCTTACCATTTTACATTTCATTCAGCAAGGTATGAGATATCCAGTTTGTATGCTCAACAGCATCTACTATTATCACTATTTTAAAAAATTTTTGTCCACACCCCGAGGCATGTGGGATCTTAGTTCCCCAACTAGATATCAAACCCATGCCCCCGGCATTGAAAGGCAGAGTCTCAATCACTGAACTGCCACGAAGTCCCCATTTTCACTATTATTTTCTTTAGCCATTCTGATAAGTACATAGTCATAATTCCTTGTGGTTTTAATTTGCATCCCCTGATTACTAATAAGATTCAATATTTTCTCCTATGCTGGCTTGCTATCCACATTCCCTCTTCAGTGCTATGTCTATTCATGTCTTCTGCTCATTTTCTAATTGTATTATTTTTTCCTCTTGACTTTATATATTCGGGATTCATTGCGATAAATGGTTTGCAAGTGATTTCTCTCAATAACATCTTCCTCTTAAATTGTTTGCAGAGCAGAAGTTTTTCCTTTTGATAAAGTCCAGTATATTAACTTTTTCCTTTTAGGACTGTGCTTTTGGAGTGAAGGCCAAGAGCTTGTTGCCTAGCCCAAGATCCTAAAGATTTTTCTATGATTTTTTTCCCCTAAAGGTTTTACAGTTTTACATCTTACACTTAGCATCATGATACATTTTCAAATTTGTATAATGTATACAGTTTAGGTCAAAGTTCCTTTTGTTTGCCAACTGCACCAACATGATTTGTTGAAAAGACTATCTTTCTTCAGTTAAATTGCTTCTGTACCTCTGTCAAAATCAATTGGGCTGTCTTGATCACTGCAGCTTTATAGTAAATCTTGAAGTCAGGTAACGTGAGTCCTCCCAATTTTTCTTCTTCAAAATGGATTTAGCCTAATTAATTTTATTCCTGGATATTTTCATTCTTCCCCGTTCTGTCTCCTGCAAGAAGAAAGTTCTTGCAGAAGCTCTTCCTTTTCTTGTTGCAGCTCCTGCACATGCTGTTGGTTTTGCCCCAGTGTGTCCTCCAACCACTGTAGTAGAGGTCCGCTGACTGCTGACATCTGACTACACAGATTCTTGGTAAACACTGAGCCATTATGGATCCTGGTTACTGAGTCCAGATGTGTAAGGCTGTGGATCCTCCTATATGCATCTTGTTCTTCTTGGCACAGGATCTTGGGCAGCTCAACTGCTGACTCAAGGCATACTTTCCCAATGGTTATGTGAGGTACAATATGAATTGGGATTTCAATTCTCTCATACTCTGAGCTCTTTTGGGTCTGTATGGATTGAAAGCAAGTATAGGGTACCCGTCCAGTCTTTGTATTTTTATCTTCTATGAAGCAGGAAAATATAAGTCCTACAAAGCCTTGATCCATCATCTGTCTGGTACATGGCTTGTGTGCGGACATCAACATGTGAAGGCCAAACAGTTATATGGGGATGGGAGTGATACCAACCCACAACTCTCATGGGGCGACCCGTCAGTTCAGCCAACCTCTCTGCCTCTGTTGAGGCCGCAGACAGCTGCTCTGGAGAAATTTCCACGCGATCCTTCCTCTTATCGGAACGTCGCAGGATGATGATAGAATGAATGTGAACAATTCTGACGGTGTCAACCTCCCCAGTGCACAGCCCCATCACCTCTTCCTTCTCCGTGCTCAGAGCGTGGTTGAGACACACGAGGAAGGCGTCCGACTCCAGATGGACCGCTTGCACTGCCTGCACTACCTGCACCGCCATCTTGGCCCGGCCCGTTCACATCCGCCTCCGGCCCGCTCGGGCCTGGCCAACCCGCCGCTGCTAGTCTATTTCTGTTTGGTAAATAAGTTCATTTGTATCATTTTTTTAGATTCCACGTATATGTGATATCATATGATATTTGTCTTTCTCTGTCTGGCGTTCTTCAGTTAATACGATAATCTCCAGGTCCATCCATGGTGCTACAAATGGCAGTATTTCATTCACTTTTATAGCTGAGTAATATTCCATTGCATATTTATATATACCACATCTTCTTTATCTGTTCATCTATTGATGGACACTTAAGTTGCATCCATGTCTTGGCCATTGTAAACAGTGCTGCTATGAATATTGGGGTGCATGTATGTTTTTGAAGTATGGTTTTCTCTGGATACATACCCAGGAGTGGGATTGAAAGATAATATGGTAGCTCTATTTTTAGTTTTTTAAGGAGCTTCCACACTGTTTTCCACAGTGATTGTAGTATCTGACACTCCCACCAACAGTGTAGAAGGGTTCCTTTTCCTCCATACCCCTTCCAGCATTTATTAATATTATTTGTAGGGTTTTTGATGTCAGTCATTCTGACTGGTGTGAAGTAGTTTTGATTTACATTTCTCTAATAATGATGTTCAGCATGTTTTCTTGTGCCTTTTGGATGTCTGAATGTTTTCTTTGGAGAAATGTCTGTTTAGATTTTCAGTCTATTTTTTGATTGGGTTGTTTTTTTTGTTATTGAGTTGTATGAGCTGTTTGTATATTTTGGAGATTAATCCACTGTCAGTTGCATCATTTGCAAATATTTTCTCTCATTCTGTACGGTTTTTTTTTTGTTTGTTTGTTTTATTCATGGTTTTCTTTGCTATGCATTTCTATATACTAATGATGAAAGATCTGAAAGAGAAATTAAGGAAACAATCCCATTTACCATTGCATTAAAAAGAATAAAATACCTAGGAATAAACCTACCTAAGGAGAGAAAAGACCTGTACACCACAAACTATAATACATTGATGAAAGAAATCAAAGATGACACAGATGGAGAGATACACTGTGTTCTTGGATTAGAAGAATTAATATTGTCAACATGACTACCCAAGGCAATCTACAGATTCAATGCAATTCCTATCAAATTACCAATGGCATTTTCCACAGAATTTGAGCAAAAAATTTTAAATTTTATGAAAACACAAAATACCCCGAATAGCCCAAGCAATTTTGAGAAAGAAAAACAAGCTGGAGGAATCAGGCTTCCTGACTTCAGTGAAAAGTGAAAGTGTCTGACTCTTTGCAACCACATGGACTGTAGCCCACCAGGCTTCTCTGTCCATGGAACTCTCCAGGCAAGAATACTGGAGTGGGGAGTCATTCCCTTCTCCAGGGGATCTCCCCAACCCAGGTATTGAATCTGGATCACCTGCATTGCCAGCAGAATCTTTGCTGTCTGAGCCATCTGGGAAGGTTATACTACAAAGCTACGGTTATCAAAACCATATGGTACTGGCACAAAGACAGACATAAGATCAACAGAACAGGATAGAAAGCTCAGAGATACCCATGCACCTGTGGTCAATTGGTCAAGAATACAGAAGGGGTAAAAGAATCTCTTCAATAAGTGGTGCTTGGAAAACTGGACAGCTACATGTAAAAGAATGAAATTAGAACATTCTTTAATCCTATACATCATCTCTTTATTGGACTTTTTTCAATATTTGCAAACCTGGGCTACAGGTCCATGGGATCACAAAAAGTCAGACACGACTGAGCGACTTCACTTCACTTCACTTCACTCCTAGACCACTGTACTTACCCTCCATCCCATTCTAAGCACATCATGACAAGATTTATCTAACATGCATATAAGTCATATTATTCCCCTTATGAATATGCTTAACTGTCCTTTTCTGCCATAAAGGCTTTCATAATTAGGTCCTTGTTGATTTCTCAATTTTCACACTTCCAACTTACCACTTATTTAAAGCAATATATAAACTTATTTGCAGTTTTTTTTTTTTAATTTTCAAATCTTTTCTTGCTTTTGTGAGAGCAAGACTGCTGTTTCCTCTATCTGGAACACCCTCTTCTTCCTGGAAAGCCTGGATAATACATACCCTTCATTCAACACTGAGTATTATCTCTTTTGTGAAAGTTTTCCACCTCTTCTGCTAAACTAGATTCCTTCATATTCTTTCCTTACAACAAGACAAATTTATTTATTAATTATTATTATATGTACACATGGCATGTAAATAAAACATGTAGTAGCTATAGTATACGTAGTGCATACCATCTTTAAGATGATGCTCTCTCTGGGTGGGGAAGAAGAAAGCACAACTATATGTATAATAATTTATTTCTTAAAAATGAAGCAAATGACAAAATATTCAAGTGAGATAAACTTAGGTAGTAGGTATGTGGCTGTTGGTTCAGTTTTCTCTGTCCTTTAAAATAGTTTTAATGTTTTCTTGATTTAAAATAAGTTGAAAAAATATGGTAGCTGATAGTTAAATCATGGGATAAATAACCAAGCAGATTGTAGAATCTTTGCTTTGGGAGATTAAAACATCTTTGTGTGTGTGTGTGTGTGTGTTTAAACTAAAACTGTAAGATTGCAAGTTATGGGTTCCAGCCACTCACTTGATACTTATGTTCCGGTTCACACTGAAGCAGCTCCATTTATAGAAAACTCAGCACCTTTTCAGGTAGCCCATCGGGAATTCCTGCTCTGTCCGACTTCTGCTTCTTGGAATGCATCGTGGTACTTGTGAGTTTTGTTTTTAATATTGGATTCTTTCTCAATATGATTTTATTGATGTCTTTTCATCATCCTGATCACCCTATTTAAGATACAACCCGGAGTTTTTCTTAGTGTATGAAGGAATACAGTCTACATAGACAAGAGCAGAGGTATTCATTGCCTCACTCATTTTAGACACTTTATTTGTCTGACATAATCTCAGGTTTATATGATACTTCTGAAAGTCAAATACACAAATGGAGCATTTGAAGGTTGCTGCTGCCAAGTCTGATTCCCTCTGTTCTGTGTCTGTATACTTGAATCACTAGTCCTTGACATAGGTCAGGAAAACTGTTAATTGCATTAAAACATTTTGTTGAACTTATGATGAATCACTATTTCCCTTTGGATACTAACGTTGGATACGTTGGTACAACTGTAATATCATCGAGGCTTTCTTTTCCTGCATCTTGCCCCTAAGGGTATCATGAGAGAAGTTGGCAAAAGCTTTTCTGAAATCCAGCTACACTATTTCTACTCTGTTTCTCTGATCTCCCAGTGTAGTAACTCTGTCACTAGAAAATGAGGTTAGTGTGACAGGACTATTCTTAGTGAGCTCACGCTGAGTTTACCACTTCTTTTTCTAAGTGCTCAGAAGCCACTGTTCAAAAAAAAAAAAAAAATTGTTCTAGAATCTTGCCCTGAATAGATGTCAAGCTCAGTGCTCTCTAGTTCATGAATACGCATTCTTCCTCTTTTTATAAATCGAAATGACACTTGCCTGTATCCAATTTTGCAGGAGCTCTTTTCCTCTGTGGGGTTTCTCAGGTGCCCTGACAATGATTCAGCCTTTTCTACAAGTTCTCTGAGGATGTTGAAACATACTCCTGGGCCAAGAGACTAGGATTCATTTGGCATAGCACCTTTTCATCTCCTCATTTACTTAAGAATACATCTATCACCTGTTTGAGAAGGGAATAGGAAATCGATTAACCCAAACTGTAGTTAAGGCCGTGTTTGGTTTGATGGCCAATATGAAAGTGAATCAAGAGGAAAAACTGTTATTAAAGGGCTTGAAGCATATGCAGCAGTATGCTAGGTGCTAAGAGATGAGAATAAGATAAAGCCAAAGCCCTGGTCTTAAAAATCTGATAGTCAAGTTGGGGGAAATAAAACTTGTAATACCATAACCCATATAGTTTAATTTGGGAACAAACAGGACTTCAAAGAACACAATCCTTGCCATCAAAAGGATTTAAAAAATAGCTCAAATTGTTTCCTTATATTCCTTAATACTATCAAAAAGGTATATTAAAAATATTTTAAATGTTGCAATATAACTATGGTGTCTACTGACTGCTTCAGTGGCCAGAGGTTGTGAGTAAATTCTGAACCTAGGTGTGTGCTAAAATGAACCTTCTTTTGTGGTAAAAATCTGTTTCTGAGTTGAAATGTTGATACAGTAATAGGAGAAGGAAGGGGGTAATGGTTCTACTGCTAAGCCAGCCTCTCGTGCTACCAGGCTTGTTGGGAGGGGGAGGGTAGGAGTAGAGAGCAGGACAGCAGGAAGAATAGCTGAGGAAGAGAGCAACAATGCCTTGGTCCCTGGGGTCTTTCCTACGTGCTATCTCCTATGCAAAGCGATTCCCATCTATTGAGCACCTCGCTATGCCAGGAATGCCGTTAGGTACTTTAAATGCCATTTTACCTTT